GATAGGCAGATGTTGTTGTCTGATGGTGTTAGACGTATCGTCGTAGGATATAAGCTGTTCCAAGTAAAGCTGCCTTTTGCAATTGACTGGTGGTGATTTTGTCAATGCTGATGGTGTTCAAGTGATGCTCCAGATGTTTTGGAATTGGACCCAAGGTGCCTATTGGTACTGTCTTTGCTTTCTTTTGCCATGCTCATTCTATTTTCAGGTCTTTATATTTTGTGATTTTCTCCAGTTGTTTCTCTTTTATTCTGCAGTCTCTAGCTATTACAATGTCCACTATCCAGATTTGTCTTTTTATCAACAATTGTTAAGTCAAGGGTGTTGTTGTTATTGTTATATACACAACGTGAAATCACAGCTGCCACTTCTTTAGCTGGTGTTGGCCTTCATTCGCTTTGAGTTCTTCCCAAGAACTGAGGACTTCATAATGTACTGGTGTAGTATATCTGTGCATCCAAGCAGCATGGCCTTTTGTAATTGACAGATGGAAATTTTTTCAATGCGCAGATTTTCTAAGTGCCGTCCAAGGCATTTTGGTATGGCACCCAGAGCACCGATAATCACCAGAGTTTATGCCATAATCTTTCAACTTTGATTTTCAGATCCTGATACATTGTGATCTTCTCCAATTCTTTGTCTTCTATTTTACTATCTCCTGATATTGTCATATCAATTATCCACACTTTCTTCTTTTCAATCCCAGTTAAATCTGGTACGTTATGTGCCATGATTTTATTAGTTTGTATTCCAAAATCCCATAATTTTTTAACCTGCTTATTTTTGACTACTTTTTCAACTATATGTTTCCACCAATTTTTTATTACTGGGACATAATAATTTTTACAGATGTTCCTGTGAATCATTCTGGAGACTGTTTTATGTCGTTGTTTATAATCAGTTTGTGTGATCTTCTTGCACGAGCTGAGTATATGATCTACTGTTTCTTCTACTTCTTTGCACATGCTGCACTTTGAATCATTTGATGATCTTCTCAATTCTGGCCTTGATTGCATTAGTTCTAATAGCTTGCTCTTGAACAGCCAAAATCAAGCCTTCAGTTTCTTTTTTTTATGTTCCAGTTGTTATTGTTGTTATTATTATTATTCTGCCTTTTTTCAAACACGCACACACACACACTGGCGACAAACATACCTGATACTCTTGCCTCCTCTTTTCCCCACAGCAACCACCCTGTGGGGTGAGTTGAACTGAGAGAGAGTGACTGACCCAAAGCCACCCAATCAGCTCTCATGCCTAAGGCGGGACTAGAACTCACCCTCTCCTGGTTTCCAGGCCACTTCACCCCTACACCAAACTGGCTCTATGTCTTAGATCAGTACCTTGACCTTGGATACCCCCGGCCATCACAAATAAAATATAGTCCTTGAATCTCTGTTGGCCATTCTAGAACGGCTTAGAATGTTAGAAACAAAACACGAATGTGAACAATGAAATACTTTTGTGTGTGAATACAATAAAAACACAAATATAAACATACGTATGAGAGATAAATCCAGACATTCTAAGGGAATGGTTTTTAAAACTCAGTCCAGAATAGATAGGTGGTGTTCAGGCAACATGCTAATTTCTGAATTTGTTTTCTGAGTTCACACAATAAACTGAACCCAATCGAACCAATTCTCAGTTCACGCACCACAACTAAACAAGCTTAATTGTTATGTGAAGGCCTTTACCAGGTCTTTACCTCATCAGTTTAAGTGTATCGTGAGAGTATAACCACTATGAATCAAATGAAAAACAAAGATGCAGGGGAAATTTTGGGATGTTTCTTCTGAACATTGGGTGAAAAATAATATCCATTTTGTGTTACAACATGAATCCTGAGGCACACTTAAACAAGAGGGCTAGTTTAAATAAACTATTGATGTAACACAGCACAAAGATAAGTCAGGTCATATTTTCACTTACCGCTCCATAGAAAGCTGGGGTAAGGTCTGGAATGAAGATCTCAGGATAAACAGTTTGTAAATACCACGTGAAATTTTTGCAGTGTAACCTCTCCTTCAGCTGCAGTCGCTCAGTGAGGTCTCCATATGTTTTCTAATAAAGCCATAATGTGTGCATGTTTAAAAAGGATCACATAAAGCAGACAAAAGGGCCACCACTATTTACTGGAATCCACTAAATAGCTAAAGGTCTTAACTGTCTTTATTTTTTAATTTGTTTAATCCATGGATTAAATCTTGAGACAGTTCCAGCCAGAACTTGGTCTCTAGGATTACTTTCAGACCTGGAACATCCTATCTCTGAGGTCCTCCAAGTTCTTCTCCTTTATTAGATACTGGAGGTCCCTGAGGATAAAGCCACAACTCCATTTTATAATCTATCAACTGTTCTGTTTTTCTACTAAACCTCTTGTTAGGTTCTCCAGTTCTAGAAATGGGACCACCTCAGGGTGTCTAAGCCATTGAAATAATGACTGGAAAATGCTGTACCATTTCTCTTTCTTTGGTAAGGCTCCCAGCAACTATGCTGGAGAATCCTGCCCTTATTTAGAGGAAGTAGAATCAATTAAACCTACATATTTAGGATTAAAAAACAAGACGTACAGATTTTGTACACTAAGGGAAGTACTTCATACCTCTCTGGCCATCTGAGAGGCCTGCTGGTTCCTTCTGTAGAAGATCTCCTTATAGTCATCCATCCAGACTTCTGCCAGGCGCACCTGATTCCTAGAGATGACCTGAGTCCCTTTGGGGAAGGTGTGTGGACTTTTGGAACGGAACACGTGGCCAACTACTGAGCAGGGAATGATCTCTAGCTGGCCTCCACACTGCCAAACCTGAGGGTGCAAGGCAGGGGGAAGAGTACCATTCAAACCATGAGAAAACCACAAAATCATACATTGAATGTTAGAGTCAGACCAAGGAAATAAGATGTGAAATCCACGCATCTCTTTTCCTTTCTTTTTAAAGTGGGGATCAGGAATCAGGGTCAGATTCCAGCTGCCCAAAACCAGGCCCCTTCAAGAGAGAAGCTGCCATCAAGTAGCAGAAAGAGCTTCTTCTTAGGGGGACGGGGTGGCAACTTTATGTTTGCAGGCTGCATCTTAAGGAGAAAAGGTCTATATCTTCCACATCTGATCCCAGTTGCCCTTGCTTGGCTAGAGAGTGGTTCTTCTAAAAGATAAACCGGAGTCCTGCCAGAGCTCCCATAACATTCCAGTCTGAGGAAGTGCAATCCCTTGATCTCCTCCTATCAAAGGCGGGGAGTGAGCCATCCCAGAATGGGCTGCTCTCCAAAGAATCTTAACCTCGGAGGGGTAATCAGGCAGAGTGGCATTTAGGCTTTGGCTGAAGATTTGCTCAACCTGCCACTGGATTGGACAAGGAATACTATGTTGATAACAGAACATGTAATCTTGTCTGGCTGGGAGCCACTCTTTTTGTCCTCTTTTTGGAGCACTAGGACAAAATTTAACTTTATCTAATTTAAATAGTACCACATTTAATGAATTAAGGCATACACTACTCGCCATGTAATAAATAATTTCACCTTTGGCACATTGAAACAATTTGATGGCAATAACAAGGCCGCAAACAAGGCCTGTTGGGTGAGCGCATGTGTGTGCCTCTGGATTGCGTTCATACTTAAGGACCATGTCTGATTCTATCTTTGGCTGCAAGACTGAGCCTGTACACCTGCCATCCTGGGTCTTGCAAAACATGTTCAGTGCTACAGTTGACTTTGTCCTATTATTTTTAAGGATAGTATTTTCAGTGCTGTGTAACAAAATGTCATCAGAGCGAAAAGCGAAGCAGGAAGCATACATTCATATTCTTGCATTAACCTGCACGGAAGGCGATCTTGAATTTAATGTTATACCTGACTTCAGTTAGACGAAAGCAAATCAAAAGGCTTCTGTATTCTCATTTCATCCAAGCCAGTGTTGTCCAAACTTGGCCACTTTAAGATGAGTGGACTTCAACTCCCAGAATTC